ACACCTTCTCCCGGGTTAACAGAATTCCTTACCCGGATTTCTGTGTTCGCAAGCTGTAGAACAGAGTCAACTTCCTCGATTCGGGATTTTAAACCAGTGACTTGGGACACCCTAAATTATCCCAAGTGGCGACTCTGATTTTTAATAAATAAACGATCTCGTTTCGATTGTCCTTTAATTGAAAAAACTCCCTTATATTTATACCCTTCACGGGGTGTAGGTAAAAAGGAGGTGTGACAGCCGGTAGCCTACATAAGAGCTATCAAGTACATATATGATGGAGCTAAGACTAAAGTTAGGACCGTGGGAGGCGACTCGGAGCATTTCCCGATTGTTATGGGATTACACCAAGGCTCTGCGCTTAGCCCGTTCTTATTTGCCTTGGTGATGGATGCATTGACACACAATATTCAAGGGGATGTGTCATGGTGTATGTTATTTGCTGATGACATAGTTCTAATTGATGAGAGGAGGGTTGGTGTTAACGAGAGGTTGGAGGTTTGGAGACAAACCCTCGAGTCTAAGGATTTCAAATTGAGCAGGTCTAAGACAGAGTACCTGGAGTGCAAGTTTAGCGCTGAGTCGAGGGAAGTAGGCAGGGACGCGAGGCTTGGATCACAGGTCATCCCCAAGAGAGATAGCTTCAAGTACCTTGGGTCGATGATTCAGGGGGATGGAGAGATCGACGAGGACGTCACTCACCGTATAGGGGTGAGCTGGATGAAATGAAGGCTTGCATCTGGAGTCTTGTGTGACAAAAAAGTGTCACTGATACTCAAAAGTAAGTTTTATAGAGTTATGGTTAGACCGGCCATGTTGTATGGGGCGGAGTGTTGGCCGGTTAAGAACTCCCATATCCAGAGGATGAAGGTAGCAGAGATGAGGATGCTGAGGTAGATGTGCGGGCACACTAGGATAGACAAGATTAAGAATGAAAATATTCGGAAGAAGGTGGGTGTAGCCCCCTGTGGATGACAAGATGTGGGAAGCGAGGCTCAGATGGTTCGGGCACGTACGGATGAGAAGCCTTGATGCTCCGGTGAGGAGGTGTGAGCGGTTGGCCGTGGTGGGTACGAGAAGAGGTAGAGGGAGGCCTAAGAAGTATTGGGGAGAGGTGATCAGGCAGGACATGGTACGACTGCAGATTTCCGAGGACATGGCCCTTGATAGGAAGGTCTGGAGATCAAGCATTAGGGTTGTAGGTTAGGGGGTAGTAGAGCTTTCCTTACTTCATACCCGGGGTGAGGCGGGGTTGGATTAGGGTTGATCTTAGATGACTTGCAATTTATGTTGAGTCCACCCTATCCTTGTTGTTTATCTTAGCCCCGGGCCTTAGATACTGATTATTGTTATTGCATGTCATTTATCTTTTGGTTGTTATGCTTGTATTACTATTACGGGTTTCTACTGGAGTTACTAATGAATTGTCTTTTCTTATTTTTGATTTCCGTCTTTCTGAGCCTAGGTTCTATCGGAAACAACCTCTCTGCCCTATCGGGGTAGGGGTAAAATCTACGTACACATTACCCTCTCAGACTCCACTTTGCGGGATCTTACTGGGCAGTAATAGTAGTTGTTGTAGTATATATGAATATTTGAATTCCCTTGACGCAAGAGAAGTACAGGTTCAAATCTCGTATTTGACTTATTCTTATTCTTTTTAATCCCTTTGTCAGAATTCTTGATTCTATCACTGCTTGAAGGACGTCCAACCAGAATACTCAGAGTATCCTAGAGGATAATCAAGAGGTAGCATCACTAGTCCATATATATAGAGCTAGGAATGAGGACTCTTATTGGAGTCCCAGTCGTTTTACTCCTTAAATGGTCGTGAGCAATCCTTTATCTTATGATTGGGGTTGAACTATGACCAAAGTCTCTATTAGAGATCAAATCCATCTGCTCTATCCTCCGAATTTTCATTTCACAATTAGGGCACCAGAACTCAATTAAACAGAACTAAGGGATACAACAGCTGACTAAATTTGGATACATTTTCAATTATAAGATTCAGCATTCAGAAAATGCTGCACAAAACAAACGAATCTACGGATTGATTCTATATGGTGTCATTGGATCAATCCATAATAGTTTTTATAATACTAGCAACAAGATTTATATCACACACAGTTTATTATGTTCACTTAAAATTGGAGTTATGTTATAGCCTAGAAAGCAGATTACCTACACACTTTGCAAAGATTAAAAAAAAAGGGTAGCGCGGTGCACTAAGTGGATCCGGAGAAAGGCCGGACCACAAGGGTCTATTGTACGCAGCCTTACCTTACATTTCTTCAAGAGGTTATTTCCACGACTCGAACTCGTGACCTTCTGGTTACATGACAGCAACTTTACCGGTTACGTCAAAGCCCCCCTTCAACATTTTGCAAAGATTGCAGCATATTATATGCTTATTTCTAGAACTTCAACTTGTATGATGGCAAATAGAAATTATCTTACATAGCACCATATAACTGTATAATCAACTCTATCAGAACTTCCATCAAATTCATCCTCCTGATTTCAAATAGAAAGAGAATGGGGGTTTAGTTATATTGATATTATAATCTTCTGATATACTCCCTGTCCCAAATTGCTAGTCTTGTACACTTTCATTTTATGGAAAGACTTAATACATTTTGATTATGGTAAATTTTTCTGCTACCACTTTTACTCAACATAAATTTATCCTTACTATATTAACTTCAATACAAAAAAGTTCAAATATGAACCAATAAGTTTCTCAACAAATATTAAACAACTTATGCTTTCAAGTTTCAAGTGTTAAAAGTCAAAATGACCAGCAAAATCGAAGTAACAAAGCGAGTATCACAAATGAACAAGAAACTGGTTGCATTTTGTTTGCACACAGTTATAGCCTATAATGAAACTAGTACAGAGTATTATCACCAAACAATGACCTAGCATTAACTTCCTCAGCATCATGATTCATGAGACAATATCAAAGGCAGAATCAAACAAGGATCTCGACAATCAGTTATCAGCATTCGAATTTTAGCAAAAAATACCAACAACGATATACCACCCTGCAATCTTACCTTGAATTTTCACCGAATCCAAGCATTACTCCACCTCCAATTTGCAGACGAAAAGGAAAACATGTTGATCATATCCTCAGAACAAATTGATCAAATACAATATATTCAAACAAACATATGAGGATATAAGCTTGGTATCATATAGCTTTCTCCACTCTACTAAGTAATTATCACAAAATAAGAACTATCGATGAATTACCTTGTCCCACAATTTCTGAATACCACAAGAATAGCTATACTGCAGGGTTTGTATAGCTTATGAACCATACGTCCGAAAAGGCGGATCAACATGCAAATAACTCAAACCTCAACAAACCCAGTGTAATCCCATAAGTGGGGTCTGGGAAATAATTCAAACCTCACGAAGAAGAAATGATATATAACTCAAATGCAACTGGACACCCTCAGCTCCAGCACATGAAAAGACTAATCAATTCTATAAACATAAGCCTGTGCCGATCACATCGCTGTAATTTAAGGCTCTTCACTGCATAAAATTTTACTTATCTACCTATACTTAAAAATGTCCAGCTCAGAAGAAAAATTCAGGATACTCCACATATTTTCTTAGATTTTGTATCACAAGTTAAGATTTCAAATATGATAATCACAGAGGTTATACATGATATCTTATGGCATTAGTTTTCCTTTCACCATTATTAGTAGCTAGCCATTAACAGATGTCAACACTCTATGTTGACAGATCATATTTAAAACTGAGTTCTGTTATAGACTAAGCTCGTAAACTGTATAGACATCCATTTCTTATTCATAAGAACTGAAAACACAAGTATTAGTAGATGTACAAGTATAAATTTCTGGAAGTTGTATAAACATGAAAGCAAATGAGGACAATCCACCTCTCAGCTTTCAAGGTCCTTCCTATAGTGACTCCCAATCACAGAACGAAGCCAAAAAAAGGAGACGGGCGGAAAGTGCAATCTACTTCCAGCTAGAGTGTATCAATCAGGTAAAGAAGCTAATCCACTCACTAAACTGTTAGCTCAGACTTTGGAGTGAACAAGAGCAATGCTTTGAACCTATCGGAAAAGAGTGAATGTTATTATCCATCTTGACGAGCAGCTTGCTTCTGGAGAAGAAGGTATTTAAGATCTCCATAAGTTCCAGCAAGATGGAACCGAACCAATCAAACAAACTGATATGGCAAAATTTTAGCGTTTGTAGAATACAATGTCACGGCTGCAGTTGGCCTTAATAGCTTCCTCTAAACCTTGTACACGGTCAAAGTCAACTTTGAAAGTGACCATGGTGACTCCATCTTTTCCGGTATCATAATCCTGCTTGATGTCCTCTGCTTGGAAAGACTGGAGCTGCATATCACAAAACAGATTTTCAGAAATGCACTAACATAAAGTAAACATGCACCAATTATGCTCTTTCGGCATCCAGCTTTTGACTAAGAGAATGAACCGAAAAAAAATGGAAACAGAAGAATCAAACACTACAGAGAATATAAATAGAGCAACAGCAAGAAATATTAGCATTTTTCATACATAAGATCAAACTTACCTGATGGTATAAAACCCCTAACAGGTCAAAAGGAACCTCCAAGCCCATCGGAACCTGAACCGAAAAGTATTGCCTAATCAATGAGTAGGTCTCGAGTTTATGTCAAAAGCGTAGAATGAAATGAGAAGAGTAGGATCAGCAATAGAAGTGGATTTTGAAACTATGCTTATACAAGATGGGCAAGGGACAAGGGGTAGAAAGGTGCTCAAGCAATTAGTTTATTACTTTAGACTTTATGAGACATGTTGAAGCGTTTCTCAAGCATTCTGCAGCTACTCCTCCATAAGCTCTAACTAGACCGCCAGTGCCAAGCTTAATTCCTCCAAAGTACCTGCATTTTAAACAAGATAAAGATCTATGCATGCTTTCTTTTCTTGAAACATTCCCCAGTTTGGGCGCTTGAAACTTTTTTTACCTCAAGAAAAGATGCAAGTCTAGTTTATATCTAGTCTGACAAGAATTATGAAGGTACTAACACAGTTTACTAAATAAAATCGGGTACCTTATCACAACAACCATGACTCTATCCAACCCTGAGGATGCAATTGCAGAATGTATTGGCTTGCCAGCAGTACCGGATGGTTCGCCATCATCATTACTCCGATATTGTTCTCCAACCTAAAGAGAACAAACCATAACATTTTTTGGCATGGCAAGGTAAAAGCCAAGAAAGAAATTTAAAAAAATTGGAGAAACCTAAAACTAGAGGGACTCTGTTTCTTATTTGTCACTCCAAGCATAAGAAGCAGTCATCATTATGGATGGAAACAGTTGTAATCCAAAATTCTACTCGCGAACCACATGTTCTCAATCAAATAATGTATCAACTACACTTCAATCACTAAACCAGTAGCATACACTTAATCAGTGGCGGAGCTGAAGGGAGCCAGGATACTACTGTAGCGATAATGGGGTTCAAAAATAGCCTTACGTCACAAGTTTAAATCCGAGGTGTGACACTTTGGTATTTTTTGTTTTAATTTCCTCGTATGAATTTTTGGCTCCGCCACTGCACTTAATACTTGTTTCAACAAGTGTAGCTGTTTTTTTTATGTTAAAACTATTTTTTTCATCAAATTGCAGATATTTCTATCATATATCAATAAAAACATAATTTTGGCCATAAGTACATACCTTGTACGCCCAACAATTATGAGTAGCTCGAGGGTCTTTTACCTAAAATCAAATCCAATCAAGTATTACAAAAATATAACCAAAACCCAAACTAAACACAAATCTTCAAAAACAAACTCAACATTCCAATTCCAAGAACTAAACACATGCAAAAGATTCAATCTTTACACAAAAGGGTACCTCTGAAAGGAAGGATTGGGCAGAACGCTCGTCAGGAATATGGCCAGCAATTGCAATAAATTTGCTCTTTTTTATTTCTTTTTCAAAAGTGGCCCTTTCTTTAATTGTTGTAAATGCACCTTTATTGCTATTGGGATTTGAACTGCTGCTGCTGCTGCTGCTGCTGCTAGTGGCGACCATTTGTTTTCCGGTGCCGGAAAATAGGATCGCCGGTGAGAAATACAGGCGGTGGTTACGGAGGCGACAGTAGAGGTGGTGGTTCAGTTTTGAACAAGGAGTGGAAAATAACCAGTTAGCAGACATCTATGGCAGCTATTTCGTGGAGATTGAGGATGTTGGCAACTGGTGTAAAATTAAAAAGGGTAAATTGAATTTTTTACCCATTTAGTTTATGAAATTGCGAGAACTACTCTATAGTTTTGGTAATGACGAATTAGTCTTCGGAGTTAAAGAGCTCCCCAGTAGCTAGTGGTGCTTATCGGACGGATCGAGGGATAATTAAGTTTAACGGTTCGATTTATCGGTTATCAGATTATAAATATAGTAATCCGCTAGCCATCCGATAAGACAACGGGTGGACTGGTATCGAATTAACGATTATCGGGTGGTTTATCGACTAAACCAAATAAAAAAAATTTGAACAATTCTAGTTTTGTGAATATCAAATGGCCAAATTGCATAGTTCAAACTGTCTCTGTTAGTAGTAGTAGCTTTTCCTGATGAGAAGCCAGAGATGACCGTCGTTAGCTACAGACAGTTCTATCATTCTATGTACAACTACTTATGCAACAACGAAGTAACGGTTGCTATTACTTTATTGTGCTATAATATGAGTTAATTGTCTGTTCACAACAACAACAACAACAAAACGACCCAGTATAATTCCACAAGTGGGGCTAATTGTCTGCTCACTCGCTTTTATAATTTCAACCCTTATCACAGAATGCTCAAACTGAAACAAGGATAAAACCAGGTGAACCAACACAAAAGTAGCCTGCACCAGAGGATACCACCAAGCCAGTACCCAATGTTGCTTCTACGCAGCTGCAGAAATCCAACATTGATTCTATAACAGGAAATACTTTGCCGGAAATAACACCCCAGTGTATGGGCACAATAAAGACAAATTTGATTCTGATACAAAGATGAAAAACCTAAACTTCTTACTAATACTTTAGCCATTTAGGATGTCAATAGTACTTTATATATATATAGGGGTAAAAGTGTAAATATAAAAAATTTAACGAGTTAACGGTTTATCCGATAAGAAAATTGAGTAATCCTCCTTCCTAAACCGTTAAGCTGTTATTTATAAAATCTCAATTCGTTCATCACTCATTACCCCCGATAATCCTATACCAACAAGCCAATAAGTCATCGGTTCGGTTAACGGTTTCAGTTCAATTTTGAACAGTCCTACCAGTAGCAACTATACTTCTTGTAAAGTTAGGGCTGTCGAATTTGGCCCCAGCCTAAATGGCCCGCCCAAGGTTGGGTTGGTCATTGACGCACCCATTTATTGACCTTAGCATATCTTGATTCAACAAATCTCAACCTATTTAAAGTTGGGCTGATTTTTAACCCAAATTAATCCATGAGTAACTTTACTAAAATATCTTACAAATAAATTTTTTTTTGACATGTTATATATAACCATAACAACAACAAAAAAAGTCTTATTTAGTAATTATACAATTCATAAGAAAACAATACATATTGAGTAAAGTTTGATAAGAGTGGATGAGTTGGGTTATGACTCACATTTTAGCACATCTTGACCCAACATATTTTAGCTCAAGTAACTTAATGACCGCCCAATTATTGACTCAACTTATTTTAATAAATCCAAAATCGGTCCAACCCGCCCATTTGACACCCATATAAAGTTGAAAATTCTTCAAAATGGATGTCATTTCACTTGAGGAATAAAAGGTAAAACATTATACTCCATTAGAAGACCTCTTCTTTCATATAATGGTAGGAAAGAAAAAAAGATTTTCTACCTTATACTTTGTTGTGGAGAAAGATCTACCAAGGTTTAAATGGTAGTTGTATAACTATCAACTATGATATTCGGATGGATGAGATCTCAGAAAAATAATATTTATTCGTATTTGATATTTATATTAGATAAAATAATTTTAACTTAGTACTTTTTAAATGATAAATATATATGTATGAAAAACACATTTTTCATTCATTAATTTGATGTAAAAAAAAACAAGTGTAATTCTTTACAATATGATTCGCTCACCCTTAATCAGAGATCTCTAGTTTGAGCTCGAGAATGAAAAATGTTTTTCCCTCTAATATATCATATATGGTACAATATACCATGCAATGTTTTCTAGTAAATCATTTTGTCTTTTTATTTCCTTGAGCCGAGGGTCTTTTGAAAATAATTTTTTTATTTCTTCGGAGTAGGGGTAAGGTCTGCGTACACACTGTCCTCCTCAGACCCCATTAGTGGAATTTTACTGGGTTGCTATTGTTGTTGTTGTTGTTGTTGTTGTTGTTGTTGTTGTTATAGTAGTATAGTGTAAATACGAAATGCTTCGTGCACCGGGCGAACCAATGTGGTGTGAATCTAACTTAGTTAGATCGGTATGTTTCAAATAGCGGCTAAGCAACCAACAATAGTTTATAAAAATTGTGTCGTTAATACAGAGTATAAATTCTATATCATTCTCATTTTCTCTTCCTTTTTAAAATCTCTCTCAAAAGCAACCATTGTTTCTGTTTATAGCCTCGATTGCCTAAAACAATTTTACTTCATTCGTACATAAAACATGAATTTAGAGAAGAAAGGTATAAGCCTCCACATTATTTATTGTAAGAGCTTTAAAAAACAAAAAGTTAGAAAATTTCAGTTTTCCAATAAATCTTTGTTACTACTCTCGTGTTGCTTACTGTTATTGCTTTTTTTTTAATTTTTTTTTGAGTTGAAGGTCTATCGGAAATAGTCTTTATATCCTTATAAAATAGGGGTAAGATTTGCGTACATTCTACCTTCTCCAGACTCCACTTATAGAATTGACTGATTTATTATTATTGTTTTTAGTGTGTGTACAAACCGAACCTGAAAACCGTACCAAACCAAAAAGTCAAACCAAGCCGATTAAAAAATCCGACTAGATTTGGTTTGGTATTGAGTAAAATAAGATGAACCAAACCGACATATAAATATATAATTTTTATATATACTTTTAAGATTTTATATAGAATTTTCTTTAAAAAATATCTAGAAATATTTGGGATTATCTTGCGGGATATAATATTTAATACTATATAAAGTGCTCCATATTTATTAACCTTAGATATTGGGTTATATGATCACTTTCTCGTCAAGCGTTACTGAAATGCGTCAATCTCTTTGTCCTTCTATATTCATATCATATGTTAAGATCTACTAAATTGTTATATCTTTTTCGAATGTGAGGTGATTATTATTATTTAGGTACCATATTGATTTTTATGTTTAATTACTAAATTCGGTTAACCTTGAAAGTGTACATCAACGAAACATTATTGTCAGACAACTAAAAAAATAATTATTATGTGTTACTTAGAAAATTCTCTCATAAGAATATTTTAATAGATAATATGTTGTCAATTTTTTATATTTTTACTAAACATATATTTACTTATCAAAAAATTAACAAAGTAAGATTTAAATAATATTTAAGTAACAAAAAAACCCGAAAAACCTTAAATATCCGACAAAACCGAACCAATCCAAACGATATAGTTGGTTTGATTTGGTTTTGATAAAACCCGAATCAACCCAGTCTATATACGCCTCTAATTGTTGTTACCTGACAAAAATATTTTTTCAATGTTAACTTGTTTGGTCAAACTTCTAAGAAGCTTAACATGCTTATTTTGAAGAGTTAAGATATTTGATCGAAATTCTCTAAAAATTAAATAAAAATGTCATTGCGTTGTAGTAGAGCTATTTTTTGGTTGTAGTGAAGAAGTTGAAAAAATAGCTTCTCCTTAGAGGTAGAAACATAAGTTTAATTTTTTTAGGATTAAATAGCATTTTCAGAAAGACTCATCAAACAAAAACTACTTTTACAATACCAACAAAGTGCTATCCAAATCATCTTATGATAGAAACATAAGTTTAGTTTTTTCAGGATAAAATAACTTTTTAAAAAAGACTCACCAAATATAAACCGCTTCTCAATACTAACAAAGGCGTTCATAAAATGATTTGCTAAATACTGCTGCTATTATCTGAAAGTTCCTTTTACGAATCTCATCACAAAAAATACTTCTCAGAAATCGGGAATTGAATGTTGGAAAAATTGGATGATTATGAAGAATAAAATGTTTAGCTTGAGGCGTGTCAAGAACACTGTCCTTAAGGATATTTCGCCCATACCGAGATGAATAATATTAGGCATATCCCCCAGGATTCAACAAGCTCTTCTAGTATAACTAGGAGCAGAAACAACAAAGATTTATAAGAAGAAAATCCAGCACCAAAGCCACCATCAATTGTCAAACCGTTAAAATTAAATTGTTAATTGAAAATATTCTATCAGTTACAATTCTATCAAGATTATATTAAAATAATGAACCTAGACATAATTGTAAATATTCTTTTTGAGATATTAAAATATTTTTGACTCAACAATCCCCCACATAGTTCAAAAAGAATATTATAATAAAATAAGATAAAACTAAAAAAAATCCTGGGTTTTCACAATTGAGCATAATGCGTCGAATCTGGTGTCTCTTGGACTATGAACCATACCTAGATAAAATAAGATTAAACTTACAATATAATTGGTGAAATTTAGAACTTCTATGAACCAAGAATTCTTTTGTAAGTTTAGTGTCTTATCTATCACATTATACTCGCACACACTTTGTTGTTTATCGCAGTTTTGCGCTAATAGGCCATGCGCGCGCCTGGTTTTTATGAGTGCTCTAGAAATTTCGCCACAAATTTTATAGTAGCAGCCCCACTCCACACTCATATAGGTCCATCCATCAAGTGTATTATGCAGCACAATACACCACCCATAAAGGCTATGGATTATTAGATTAAGAGTTTAATAACTCAGCCTCTCATTCCTTGTAGTCTTGTACTATATACGCACACACACCATAGGAAGGGATATAATTTAATAGTGCACATTTGATCAACTAATGACTTGTTATTACCCATATGAACCTACTTCATGGGATCTCCAATCACATAGGTTGGGTTACCATCATAGTTGATATAACTCAAATTGGCAAAAGTCTCATTCCCCTCGATGTTTCAGATATTAATTTCCTTCCCTAACGTTTAGTCAGAGGATCGGCCAAATTCACTTCTGAC